AAGGAAAAAGGCTTAGCTTCTGGTGGGATCATTGGTGTGGGGAAGGGTGTCTTGCTAATAGGTTTCCAAGATTATATTTGTTATCAACAGGTAAAGAGAACAAGTGCTACCAGATGGGCAATGCTAGCAATGGCTCATGGAAATGGAACTTAAAATGGAGAAGGAATTTGTATGAGTGGGAAGCTGCTGAAGCTATGGAACTTCAAAAGATGATAGAAGATGAGAAGATATCAGAAGGTGACCCCGACAAATGGGAGTGGACTCACGACAAGAGAGGCCAATATTCAACCAAAACTGCTTATTCTCTTCTATCATTGGAGCAAGGGGAAGTGAATGAAGCAAAGACTTTCAAAAGAATATGGAACCCCAGTCTCCCTAGCAAAATTTCAGCTTTCAATTGGCAATTACTACTGGATAGAATACCAACCAAGGCTAATTTGCTAAGAAGAGGGGTCATTAAGGATGCGACAGAAGCTAAGTGTGCCCTTTGTAATGAAGAAGAAGAGGATTCTACTCACTTGTTCTTGAACTGCAAAATTGCAAGATGGGTGTGGATGGCTTGCTCAAAATGGTGGGGGACCAACATCACAGTGAACAGGGATTGCTGAAATACTTTCCAACTCATTGGGAAGGGCACTAAAGGATCAAACATCAGAGAAGGCATGGATTGTATGTGGAAAACTGTTGTGTGGTCCGTGTGGATTGCTAGAAATCAGAGGATCTTCCACAATAAAGAGGACAAAGAGATAAATCCAGGGAAACTTTTCGAATTCATCCAAATGAGATCCTTCCTATGGATTAAAGCAAAAAAGGACAGGTATGCCTTCAATTTGACGGATTGGCTAATTAATCCTGCTTAGTGTTTGAAAAGTACAGTGGGTTCATGAAGGATGCATTGAGCAGAAGAAGAAATTGGAAAAGAGGTTAGAAGTTCGGCACGGGTAGGGTGTCGACACATAATTTAGGTGTCGACACCATATGGTAGGCAGCAAAACTCCGACACGGACGTGGTGTCGACACGTAATTCAGGGGTCGACACCATATGAGAAGCTTTTAAAACTCCGACACGAACGTGGTGTTGACACTTATTTCAGGGGTCGACACCAAATGGAAGGACTAATCAACTCATGTATTATGAAACTTGTCAAGTCTTGATGTTTATGGGTTTGGGGTACCCCTTGTACTTCGTTAATTAATATATATTATACTTAGCTGTTCAAAACAAAAAAAAACAAGAGTCTGTAGACTTACTAGTTACGGTCTGCAAATTTTGGTCATGGTTTGCTTGACCGCTTCACTTAATGATGGAATCGAGGTTCTGGAGATTTCGAAATGCCTTTTGAGTGGTTATCAATTAAACAATTGTGATGTATTGAAGCTTGACCACCCATGCCTAATCTCCAAGCCAACATCATTTTCGTTTGGTGTCGACGTTTTTGCCTTTTTTGGGTATATATCGAAAATCTCATCTTTTTCTCCACTTAATTTAATTCCCACCAAAAAGTGACGTGTTTAGATGATGCTTCTTTCTATGTATG